GTGGCCAAGAGCAGTGACCTGCAAAGAGCCGTCACCTGCATGGAGCACAAAGGACAGCAGGTGTGCACACAGCCACTGGCTCTGTTAGAAATGGAAAGTGAATAACTGTCATATCTACTTGTGACGTTTTTTTTCAATTATTCAGATTAATGGGTACATACTTTACTTACTGCAACATTCTCTCTGATATACTTACTTTAACAACTAGCATGAGGCACCGATGTCCAGTAAAAGCCCTGTGCAAGGCAGGGATTCAACAGGGATTAGAGAGAGGGCCACACGGCCTGCCATCAACACAGCATGACTTGATGTTATAGACTGGCCCTTTTTTCTATAAGGCCAGGAATTGACATGCTAGATAATGTCTATCTTGATAGCTGCCTGACTTTGAAAAGTCCCTCGACCCCATCAAAGTTTCCATTTCTTCATTTAGAAATGTCTGCATATATGTCAACTCTCTCCAGAGAGTGTCAGGGCATTTGGTTTGAGAATAGCCCTAGGGAATCCTAAACAAAATATTTAGGAGGCAGGACTTTTGATTTTATTTCTCACTTTGTAGTGAATAGAATTGTTCTAGCCAATACTTTGTTAATGGAAAAGATAGGGTTTTATGGCATAGAGGTACATTATACCCAGGATAAAAGGCCACGGTCACATTTCATTGCTCAAAACCATGTTCACACACATTCTCTGCATGTGTAGGCTCATGTGCAAAGCAAGTACTGTGTGGCCAATTTTGATAGATAAGAGAAAGGACTTTGAAAGCAAGAGTAACTTGCTCAAAGTCACAGGCATAAGTGCCTGAGAAGCAGATGCAGAATTAAATCTCAAATGCCAGTGCAGTGCTGTTTAGACTCTAAGCTCTTGCCACAATCAAGGTAAAGCTTGAAATCATCTTCCATACCCTGCCTTTGATAAATGCATCTTCCAGGGCTCACCTGCAGAAAATACAAACTGTAGAAGCTGTTTTAAATAGAGACTTAATACAGGAAACCAAGTGCTATGAAATCATTGGAGAAAATGGAAGATAGACTGGAGTTTGGATATCTAGGAATGACTTCCGGTAGCACACTGCTGATGGAGTCTTCAAAGAAGCTACTCCCCTCCAACCCAGGCAAAAGGTGGGAGTCCCCTGGGAAGCCTGGAGCTCCATGACACCTCCCCAGAGCTGTGAGGTCTGGGAACTGCCAGCATGCTGCTACAATTGCTTCTCTATGCACACAAAGCCTTGACTGTACAATAGAATTTTGCTACAGAAATGCACAGCTTCTTCACCACCTTGCTTGCCAGCAGCAGAACCCCAAGTTGCAGAAGTCTGGTCTTCTTTGTACATTTCCTCTTTTCAAATTTTGCATGGGAGCCTCTAATCAAAGAAACTTCTCTGCATCCACAGCCGAGCAGCAAGAGATTCTGAGAGATATGGAGCTGAAATTGATACTAACTGCCAATCTACTCCATTTGTAACAGGTAGATTCTGAGACATTGACAGAATGTCCCTAAATGGTTTAGAAACAGGATTCTTAGGTGTGCTTTCAAGGCAGGCATTACAGGTGATCTGCATCCAGGCACCATGTATGGCTGCTCAGGTCGTACACTCAGGAAAGGAGTGACCTCCTCATGTTGTGCATTAGTCCCAGTATGTGTGATCAGAACAGCTGCCCCTGAGTTGTTCAATGCCAGCCTGATTCTCAAGAGTTGTCTGCATCAGAGCAGGGCATGGTTATAGCTTTGAAAAGGAAAGAAAGCTGCATATGTGACTAGATTAAGAAGCTACTCAGAAATGGACACATCGTGAGGCCAGGGCCACTGGATAAAGGTCAAATAAAAGTCTAGCCTGACTTGAGGAGCTGATAGCCAGAATACCTTCCCAGAGAAGTAGGTCAGATGTTGGCATCCAGCTTTCTTAATTAGATTTTAGCATAAAAATACCAGAGAATGGAAATATCATACCTTATGATCTTAGAAAGTCACAATCAATTATGCCATATTCAGATGTGTTTGAACGGACTTTTCTTTGTGTAAAATTAAAATTAAAACATGTTCTCCTGTACAAATGTGTTACATGCATGTGCCTGCGTGCACGCGCGTGCACACACACACACACACGACACACACACAGGTAGGTTCTTTTTATATTTATGGTGTTCACTATTCCTCATTTATTTGTCTTTCTGCCTTTTTCTCCGGCTATACTCAGAACATTCTACTGGGTTCTGCCTTTTCCATTTCAGTAAAAACACTGGCAAAGTAGACTACATCCAGAAGGGAGCAATTAAAACAGGACAGGTCTGGACCTAATGGCTTAGGTGTAGCGGTTACGACATCAGACTGCTGGCCTTGGAAGAGAAGATGGTCATGTTCACATACCCAAAGGTCCATCACTCTAGAAAAAGGGCTTAATTTGATCTGTGTGTGTCCAGAGGGAGGAACCTGGATAAACAACTGAATGTCACAGAAAGGGTTCAGTGTAGTGGTGAGATCTGGCAGCAAATGAAGCCAGCTGCTTGGACAGTGTCCCTGGTGGCATGAGACACCGTTCCTAATGACATTTACCATCTGATCACTTGTACCTGTTGCAGAGACTGGTTTGATCTCCCCCTGGACTTGCAGCAACATGAGGACATGGATCATTGCTTTTCTTCTTGTGTCCCCAACTTGTCCCATAGACACTAGAACACAGGCTTGATGGGAATATGAATTGACAAATGGGCCAGGGCCCACCAATGCATCAGCAAAGGACAGTCCCTCTGGGGTCCCCCCAGAGAACTGGCTTAGAGCATAAGCGTGGGGGATGTTGAGGGGGTGGTGCCTAAGCTGTGGTTTTGCAGAGAGCAAGCATGGTGCGTGAATGGAATATGAGTGAGGATCCAGAGGGAGCTTCAACCCTGCTGTGAGCCTGGGTTCCCATGGAAGTTGGCTGGCGGAAAGCGATAGGTGGCTTTGGGCTCAGCTGCTGGAGTGTTTTCTCAGCACCCATGAACGGTGGCTGGAAGTCTATTTAATTTGGACAGCACAGCAGCAGCATAGCTTCTCCACAGTGAGGGGCTTTGTCTGCAGATCATCAGACATTCTCCTAAGACTTCACTCAGCCTGCCTCTGCCCTGTGGACACATGCAGGTGGCCTCCAGAGACAGCCCACCAACCTGGTTTTGTTTGGTTTTGCTTTTTAAAACTTATTTGTTCTTTCTAGATACACATGACAGTAGAGTGTATTTTGACATATTATACTATATAGAATATGAATAACTTGTTCCAGTTAAGATCCCATTATTGTGGTTGTACATGATGTGGAGTCACTCTGGTTGTGTATTCATATGTAGATATGTCCGATTCTTTCGCTGTCTTTTCTATTCCCATTCCCCCTGCCTTCCCTTCATTCCCCTTTGTCTAGTTCAATAAACTTCTAATCTTTTCCTCCCTTGTTGTGGGTTAGCATTCACATATCAGAGATAACATTTGGCCTTTGTTTTTTGGGGTTTGGCTTATTTTACTTAACATGATATTCTCCAGTTCCATCCATTTACTGGCAAATGCCATAATTTCATTCTTCTTATGGTTGAGTAATATCCAATTGTGTATATAACACATTTTCTTTATCCATTCATGTGTTGAAGGATACCTAGGTTGGTTCCATAATTTGGCTATTGAGACTTAAGCTGCTATAAACCTTGAAGTGGTCACGTCACTGAAATATGCTGATTTTAAGTCTTTTGGGTATAAACCAAGAAGTGGGAGGACTGAGTTAAATGGTGGTTCCATGTTAAGGTTTCTAAGAAATCGTCATACTGCTTTCCAGAATGGTTAAGTAGAATGAAACTGAAGTTCTATCTCTCACTCTGAACAAAACTCAACTCAAAGTGGATCAAGGACCTAGGCATTAGACCACAGACTCTGCACCTACTAGAAAAAAAATGTAGACCCAACTCTCCACCATGTCAGCTTAGAAACCAACTTCCTCCATAAGAGGGCTAAAGTGCAAGAAGTAAATTCAAGAATCAATAAATGGGATGGCATCAATCTAAAAAGCTTCTTCACAGCAAAAGAAACAATCGAGAATGTGAACAGAGAGCCTACAGAATAGGAGAAAATTTTTACCACCAGCACCTCAGATAGAACACTAATCTCCAGGATATACAAAGAACTCAAAAAAGAAAAAAACCAAACTCAAAAAAACAAAAACAAACAACCCAAATGATAAGTGGGCAAAGGAACTGAACAGGAACTTCACAGAAGAAGAAATACAAATAGTCAAAAAATATATTTAAAAAAATGCTCAACATCTCCAGCAATCAGAGAAATGCAAATAAAAACTACACTGAGATTCCTTCTCACTCCAGTCAGAATGGCAATTATCAAGAATACAAGCAACAATAAATGTTGGTTAAGATGTTGGGAAGAAAGGTGCATTCATACATTGCTGGTGGGACTGCAAATTGGTACAGCCACCAGACTGTTTTGACAAGTGTATGCTAAGTGGCTCCTCTGTGGCCAGCGGCCACCTTAACAACCAGTGACATCAAGAAATGATTTGAAGCCATACTGGTCCCTTTTCCTTGATACTGTGACTCACTGGTTAATAGTGAAATACATAGTGCTACTCACAGTTTAGTAATCTGTTTCTGGGGTTGGACTGAATCAGTGAGGCCAGACAAAGCCGTGGGTTAATCAATCGTATGTGTGTTTTCGATTCAGTGCAAGGTGTTGAAATGTGCCGCCTCCCACCCCCACCCCAGCCACCCCTCTCACTCGCTGCCAGAAAGACCCAGGAATGTCATTCCAGTTTGACTGCTACTGAAGTGCAGGATGCATCATCTGCCAGTTAGCACTCGCCTGTCACCTTATTTATAACACCCTGGAATGCCTTGCACCTCTGCCACTCCAGCCTCGGCACCTTTTTTTTTAGATTCTCCCAGGCTTAACTTTCTAACATCATCAGGGACAGCTCTTCCCAGTCCTGTTGCCTATCACCCAGGGTCCTGCATGCAACCCTCTCTCCTTACCGTAGCTCCTGGGCTGCAACTTGGGTTCAGATGAATCCTGTGTAGATTCACAGGAAGAGTATGTATGCTTTTGACTTCCTGTTTTGACGAACAGTAAAAGAAAAAAGACATGCTTTTTAAAAATTATATATATATATATATATATATATATATATATATTAAAAAATATTTTTTTTTTTTTTTTGCAGATCAATTGATTGATTGATTGATCAATCGATCCATAGATAGATGGAAAGAATGGGCTCCAAATAGGAATTTATAAAAAGGAAACTGCACATTGATTAAGGACCCGTCACTTCAGCCCATCTTCAAGGGAACCACCCTTGTATGACAAGTGTATGCTAAGTGGCTGATGCTGGAGCAGTCATGCTTCTTGGGACACCAGACATGACTGTTGTTATGAGAGGAAGTGAAAAGGGGCGGGTGCAAAAAGAGTCAGTGAGGTGACAAATGGACCGTGAGACACTGAGCTCCAGCTCCTGCTCCGGCAGCTGCCCACCTTTTCCGAGCATTGCCCTGCCCACCTCACTGCTTGGAAAGAACTGGAAAGAGGAACTCACTCACCTTCACAAGGGGCCAGAGGCTGGGAATGCAAACTGCAACCCCCAATCACACCTTGCGGCTGAAGCAGAGGTCACTCCCACAGCCACGACTACTTGGCTCCCCCAAGGCAAGGGGGCCAGGGCAATCTGTGCCTGGCTTGGTGAACATGTTGAGTAAACTGGCTAGGAGCTGTCACTAGAGATGAAAAGCCCTGTCCAGCCAGCAAGAAGGAGAAGGGATCGATATATCAATATATCCATGCCCCGACACTTATTCCCCCTTCAAGCTCTGGCTAATGGATGTATTGGTGGCATCTAGACACCCTGGCCGGGCCCACAAAGACTTGCAGTGGGACTTCTTCAAGAGTTCTGGTCCCCTTGAATATGTCATGGATAGTCAATGAAGTGAGCCCCGCTTAGTAGGTGCTCACTAAGCGCTAGACTGATTTCTTCTCTAGTAAGACTTGGTGGTTGCAGCTGTACAGAACACAGCTTTGGCAAGGATGCTAACGGCTCCGCTATTTATTAGGGGGGCAGCTGTGTGCAAAGAACTTCGACCACCAAGGACTCTTTCCTCCCCTGCCTCACAAGGTTGTGATGAATTTACTTAATGTCTGTAAGACACGGTGCAGGCCAAGGGAGCGCTCAGCAGAAGGCAGGTCAGATCTTTATGTTGTGACGCCAGTTATCAACCACCTCGGACTGAGTTCCCACTACCTCCCTTCAGCATTTACCTCCATTCGTAAGAGCTGGTTTGTTTTGGTCTGTTTGCCCCCCACCCCAACACACACACACACACACACATACACACACACGGGGCAGGTGGGATTCCTTGTTCATTCCTGAATGCCCAGCACGTAGGATGAGGAGTGGTCTCTAGGAGTATGGAAGAAATGGACGTGACTTGGTGTGTTTGGCATCCCGAGCGTTGCACAAACAGCCGACACACAGGGGTGACAAGAAAATGTGCAAGCCCTTTTTATTCCTGGCCTTTTCTTATGGATGTTCAGAGCCATGGACTACTTAGCTTGGGCCCGGTATTTCTTGACATCTGAGACTTTGCCCCAGTTATTCCTAATTGGAGCCTTGGGCTGGCGCAGGAACTCTGCAGTGTGACACAAACCCCAGGTGATTCTGAAGCCCTCTGAAGATTGAGATCTACCACTAGGTCAGGGAAAGGGCCCCTGGTTTGGCTTGGGCACAGCAAGCAGAGATCAAGGCCACCTGCGGCCTCTGACTCGCAGAGGCAAAGTTTCCTTTCCATGTTGTACAGGAAGAATAAAGAGGCAATTCTCACACCTGCGAGAGGAAGGGAGCCGTTGTGGGTTCGACAGATGTCACCTGCATGGAGAGAGAGCCACACAGAGGGCTGTGTTGTCCAACACAAGACAACGCTGGGCTTCTTTTCTCAAACTCTATCAGTTTTACTAAACCAAGGCCCCTCAGGAGCCAGTTCCAAGGCCGGATTCCTTCTAGTCATCAGGAAGAGAAAGGGCCCAGCCCTTGTAGCAGTGCCCCTGACAGCTGGCTCCGTATTAGGCCCTTGGCAAATGATAAAGTATGTCTGGGAAACATCACTTAAACCTGGCAGTGGGGATTCTTTTTCCCCCTGAAGCACACAGGACATTAAAACAAAAACCTACCAGGTATTAGCTACTATGATTCCTTTAAAGCAAGGGGATTCACTTGTTGGCAATGGCACATTTTTATAAAATGTGTCACTAAAATAACAAAGGCCTCATGCTCCATCCAAAAGAATTGCCACAGCCACAGCTAGCCACACATGAATTCCCCAGGCTTCTGTTAGGGCCTTACTTGTTTAGACTGTCTTGGCCCTCAGCATTGTGTTGGAGAGGGCCACCAGCACTGCACAAGAGGTGACAGGAGACTGACAACATATGTTTTCACATGGGACAGCCGCTGGGGAAAGCCAGTGCATGCCCACCCAGCTCTGAGAGATGTCCATCGAAACATCTGGACAACAGGCCCCTCTTATCTGGGAGGGTGCCCAGGGTGCCACGTGGACCCAGAGACAAAAAGCCCATACAGAAACCTTTCCCCTGAACTCTTTCTCAGGATACAAACAGCCCTATGTTCCAAACAGTCCAGCCAAGGGCAGAGGGGACAGGGCTGATGACAGCTCGGCACCAACAGCAGGAGCCTGGGCCCTGCTCTGAGCAGCCTGTCTTAGGGGTGTCCATGGCCCAAGCACCATCCACACCCTGCACAGGGGACATCTCAACTAGAAGGCCTGAGCTCTACTTCTTCTCCCAGTATGAGAAGGTGGAATGAAATCAGTGACTATATTAATCTGGCTGAATCCAGAGCGCTGGGCTGGGACAGGGTGGGAAGTGGTCATCGACAAGGGTAGTTTCACCAAAGGTCAGTTCTTCAAGGGTCAGCACTCAAGTGGGGAATTACCCAGGCTCTCCTCGCCTTCTTTCTGTCAGCAATTTTTTTTGAACCTGTTATTATCACCTTCAACAAAGGGCTAGAAGGAGGAAAACAAACCCCTTCAAGCCTCCGCCAACTAATCCTGAAAAAAATATTTGAAGGGGAAGATGAAAATGGCCAGCAGAGGTGTGGTGTCACAAGTCCATGGTTCATCCCCTAGGTGTCTATGAAGTCATGAACACCGACCATGGATTCCCAGGACGCCTTCGGCTTCTTTCCCAGAGCAAATTTAGGCAGCTTCCACGATGTCACAATTCTGGTTTAGGTGCTCCTCTCTGATGTCCTTACAATCCCCTTTCATGACCTGTATTGTAATGCTTATCTAATCGTCTAAGTCTCAGTAAAGATTTTGGGCCACGAGGACAAAGACTATGTATTAATCTACAACCAAGCACTTGCTGGAATATAGTTATAAAACAATCAATAGTTATTGGATGCACGATTGAATGAAGATAGTGAACAATCTGTATGCAAACATAGGACCCAAATACTCTCACACTGTACCCCATTTGGGTCTCTCTTTTAAACACATTGTGGGTGGAGAACAGTGTTGTTCGTGATTGACAGGTGCACAGGGCAAGTCAGGGAGGAGTTAGGAAGAGAGATAAGAGGTGTGAGGCTTCGAAGGGTGCTGAGTCCTCACACTCTGGAAGTAGTCGGGAACATGAACAATTTCAGTGTGGCACCAGCAACGGAGAAAGGCTTTTAGTATTTTTTTCAAAATATTTTTATGCATTTTATCTCATGCTCACTCTTTGAAAGAGAGCAAGCTGGGCTCTTCTCCCCTGTGGATGGATAAGATCATACAGTCAGAGAAGCTTGATCCAGGACCCCAAGACATCTAGAGAGTGGGCAGAAGAGCTGGGAAAGCCTGGGCTGGACCTCATTCACCACCCACAGAGGAGCGGGCATCACCTGAGCACTGAGGTCAAGACTGGCGGTGATGATTCTAGAAAAGGGAGGGGAGAAAGCAGCCCCCAGGAGGCTATAATCCAGGTCAGCTCAGAAACATCCTCATGAAACTCACACTTGATGCCGACGCATGCACACCACTGCCCCCTTACTGCAGCCACCTCTATCCACAATCCCCCCCCACGGCCTCCCATCTCACGCTCCCAGCCCCTGCTTCACCATCACGTGACTTAACCCCACTACTGCTCTCTCTGCATATCCATCCAGCCATATTCTTCAGAGCCGTGTAAAATAGCTGGTGGACACCCCTCAGTTCCAGACCTCTGAGGCTCCTCCGCTCCACTGGCCTGAGCATCTGGGGAGCCCCTTCAGTCTCCGCTTGCTGTTGTCCTCTAACCTGTGTGCTCCTCATCTTCCTCGTCACCCTCTCTGGAAACACCTCAATCCCACTTCACTTCTCTGCCTTCTGTTCCGAGAAAATCCCCACCCATGTGAGGGGCGAGGGTGGGAGTTGTGACAAAGCCAAAGTCTCCCAGCTCAGCTGAGCCCCCCAGGCTGCCCACGGATCCTTTCCCCAGGTCCCTAGTCCCCTCCCTCTGCCAATTCCTACAACTGAGAACTGAACCTCCATCTTCATCTTTGAGCCGACCACAGCTTCTTCAACTCACTCTTTCCAACTCCACTACGAAAAATGAGGCTGTCGGTGAAGAGTGTTCTGTTTCTATGGACAACTTCATCCTTGATCTCTCAGCTTTCCTCAGAGTGGTCCATGGCCTCCCTCTCTCATCCTTCTTCTCTGTTGGATTCAAGAAACTTCCCTCCTCTGGCTTTCTTCTCTCCTCAGGGCTGCCTCTTCTTGGCATCCTCTGCTTCCTCCTCTTCCACCGTCAGAATATCAGCAGGCTTCAGGGCTCTGTCTCCCCTCCATTCAGAGTATTCCTTCCAGCCCCAAGAACTGGAGTATCTCTCTTCACCCTGACCTGTCCCCTGAGCTCAGAGCTCCTTGTCCATCTGCCCACTTACATGTCCATTTGGACACCCCGTGTGCATGTCAAACTTCATGTGTTCAAACACATCCTGATGTGTTCCCTGAAATCTGCTCTTTCTTAGGGTCCCTTAACTGACTCATCATCCACATAAATGATCAAGAAAGAAATCTGAGAGTTGTCCTTTACCCCTCCCGTCTCCAG